ATCAGACACCTCGGCCTTAATTGGATTGCTACATTTCTCCAACAACGGACTATGTCGGTTCGAGTCTCTAATTCACTGTCAGCCCCTGTCATCGTTTCTCGCGGAGTCCCCTAGGGTTCTGTGCTTGGTCCGCGACTTTTCTATTGCTCATAAACGACCTACCGAATGCTCTAGGGCCAAAAACATCATTGTTTGCAGATGACGTCAAAATCTAGAAAACAGTGACAGAAATTGGGGGTTCGCTGGAACTCCAAGAAACACTGAATGCAGCTCACAAATCGTCTATTGAAAACGACATCCAACTTAACGTCTCCAACTGCAAGGTGATTTCTCTACGCCACCATGGGCGGCTTCCTTATTTCCTCGGAAACGAACTACTGCCTCATGCATCAACAGAGAAGGTCTTGGATCCTATAGTCCACAAAGACGTGAGCTGTTCTGTTAACTGCGCCAGGGTGTCATCAGCAGCACTCAAACATGTCGGTCTACTTAAACGTGTTTTCGGTCGTTTTGAACCATCGTTATTTTCACGTCTGTTGCCAGCATACATCCGGCCGCATAATGCGTATTCCATCTAAACTTGGAATCCATGGTTACAATGTGATCATAAGATTCTGGAACGTCCACATAGGCTTACCACGAAGATAGTCAGGTCAGGTCAGGTTGCACAGGACTGAATATGGCCACAGCAAATCGAGCGTACAGAATTCATTCGATGGGATGCTCACAACGTGGGCACCCAGCACTGCTGAAATAAGAATGAGAAATAAAATCTCATCTCGCCAAGTTGGCGAGGGAATTATTAGACGCCAGCAGTCCATACGTGTACCAGTAAAAAGGAGAAAGGCATCCTAAACATTTGGCACACCTACACTCATCTACACCTCCAGTGATGGGAATAGTTCCACCCAACGCTTATCGATTGCAGTCTTAAAGGCTTGCACAGTTTGGTGGTCGGCAATTTCCCTGGGAAGCCTGTTCCAACTGTCAACTATCCTATTGCTGAAAAAGTGCTTCCTCATGTTTAGTTGACATCTCTGCTTCACGAGCTTGAGCTCATGACCCCAAGTGCCGTGTTGGGGAGCTAATATGAAGAAACTGTCCGCTTCTATCCTCAATATTCCCTTCATGATTTTGAAAAATTCTGTCAAACCACCTCGCAGTCTCCTTCTTTCTAATGAGAAAAGCCCTAGGGCCTCAAGTCTTTCCTGGTAGTCAAAGGACTCTTATGATTCATACATGGGGAGACTGCAGTTGTTTGGCCCATACTCTGCTCAGCAAAGTCGAATTCGAAGAGACTTGATTTTAGTGTACCAAATATTGCACAACCTAAACGACCCTTGTCACCGATTTCTGACGTTGTCAGTTCAATTCGTTTTAACACCATATGGGACAAGAAAAACATCTGCTTTTAAGTAAGACTCTCATCCAGGACTAGGCCGTTCATTGTTCAACAACTTAAAGATAAATTTCCTCATTAGTCCCAATCCCTTGTTTTACGTCAGTTCACGTGCACTTAAGTACTCGTTATATCGGACACGCAACGAGGCGTTCGTCTAAGAGAATATCTGAACACTGTCCAACCGCCCTTCGAAAAGGAACTGTGAGAAGCCTGAAAAGCTTAATTCTGCAACATTTGGTCGACAATGGACACAGGATTGACGGAGAAACATCATTCACAAGTTTCTTCACTGCGCCTAAGCACCAACCCAAAGGATCACGTAGAAAGATTCTGAAAACTGAGGAAGCCATAGCAATTAGGATCATGAAACCGGAGTTGTGCAAGGAACGTAATCCGGTTCAGGCCCTGATGTTACTATGGCCATAATAACATTTACCCATATCTCCATATGACAACTATCTTCTCCCTCCCGTTTCCCTCACCCCCCATTCAATGTCGTTTTCGCAAACGTTCAAACCTGTTTTATTCACTCTGGACTAACATATTTCATATGATCTCTAGTTCAAACATTTTTGATTCCAATTTTCTCCATCCAATTATCGTGATCCCACAGCTTGTTTTCAACAGATAACTTTGCACGCAGACATTCATTCAACATCAGCCTGGGCCTTGTATTAATCTAGTGGTTAATCGAACTATATATGTAAATGCCTGAAGCGAGATATCGAAAAGAAATTTCTTCGCGTTTCGACTTTATTTTTAAGTAATGCCCATAATAAAATTTTGACTTTGACAATAATCCAGGAGGAGCTCCTGGGAAACATTTTTGACGTAGTACTCCGACTAAAGCTAGAAAGAAAACACACCAAACCAGCAGCTAAACTACGGGGGCGATATGGCAAAATTAAGCAGAACGAACTGGCCAGAGCGCCACAGAGTATAAACCGGGTACCCNCCAGCCGATGAATCTCTGGAAGCCAGGTGGGGCTATATCAGGACAGGACTTCTCCTACTCACAGGCAGGTTCGCGCCTTTGGTTCTATTAGCAAAGAAGCAACGCCCGCCTTGATGAAAGTTAAATATAGATAGGACTAAAACCATTGTGCCTCCCGAATAGATCAACGAGCAACGTGTGGCCGAAATCTGACCCCAAAACGTCAACAAAACGAACGTTCCAGCAGGTTTCTACAGTACTGTATTGATGGAAGATCACATAAGCAAACAAAATCTGTACAATACTACAAGTTATCTCAAACAACTTGAAAACAAGAGCCAAGTATTATTGCGAGCGTAATTCAATAAATCTGAACGGAAGAAAATGAGTCTGGATAAGAATAGCACACTCCTCGTCACTTTGCACTCGAACGAGTAAATTTGAGCGGTCAGATCGCGATGAAAACAAATAGGGTACGAGTGACGCAGTAAAACAAACAAAGTCAGATAATGGGATCAATGTGTAAATAAACGAAGGAGGTGGAACATCAAATGTATGGGGCGGATGGTGTTAGGTGAATAGAACGTGAAATTCACGAAATGTGGAGCCGCGTTAGAGTGACTAAAGACAGGAAGGATTTTCACAGATCGATCAATACACCGCCTTGCAAAATTTTTCCTCGCGTCACATGGTCAAAGAGAATTTCAGGGGAGCACCGATTCTCACCCTAACTACCCAACCCTTACGGTCACTGTGCCATTCTATCAAGCTTGTCGTTATCCTATCTGTCTCCACCAGCTCAGGAGGTTAGCCACAAGCCGTTCTCTATGACTCACAGTGCCTCCCTCGCTAACCCAGAGGATTACTCAGCTGCTTGGTTTTACGGTCGATTCCGCATCTTCCCCTCCAGGCAGCAGACTCGGCGGATGTCTAGCAGGGATTTGCCGGCTGCCGTTTTCACCTTAACCGTATGTACGAGCCCGTCCTCGTCCGGAAGGCATACCCTGACGACTACCAGGGGCCATTCATCTCGCCGCAATCGTTCATCCGCGAGCAGCATTATGTCACCAACTCGAAAGTTTCTTCCTTTGAGTATACATTTCTGTCGTGCATGTAGGGTAGGCAAGTACTCTCGGATCCATCGATTCCAGAAAATACCAACCAAGCAGGTGGCTTGCTTCCAACCGCTCGAGTAATATTTTGTGATTGTTCGTGGTAATGCCAGTCCGTGATTCTGTCTCAAAAAAATCAAGTCTTTTGGAAATTGTTTCCATGATTACAAAGTGCCCGTCGGAGGGCGCAGAAAGGCGAGAAAACCGCTCCGAATGGATGAACTCTCAGGTGATAGTCTACTGCCGGGCTCTGTACGTCGCTCTCAGGCCACAATGGTAGTCGCAAGGCGTTGGGTTGATCCTCCGGTATCTCAACTTTTAGGAAAATTTCATATATGTCGGCTGCCACTGCAGCTGCCCCTAGCCGGAATCGGATGAGTATCCCATCAAAGGAGTAGTCCAATCTGGTCCCTGCAACAGACAATCATTAAGGGAAAAACCGCAGAATCGCACCGCATAATCAAACACCGCGCGTATCTTTCCTGGCTTTCTAAGTTTGGTTACCGGCTGGTGTGGCAAGTACCATAGCCATTCCCCTAGTTATTGTTCCATGTCAACTAGTTCCATATATTCTGGATGCTCATTCCGTTGCACCACTGCGGCGTACTGTTGAAATTGCTGTGCGTCCTGGACCAGTCGCCTTTCAGGTTACTCCAACCTTTTTAGGGCTATTCCTTGGTTGTTCGGCAATCGGATAAATCCCGTTCTTCATGGTAATGGCATCTCGAACCCGTCGGGCTGACAGTGTGTTTCCGTTTCAACTATAGCTAATGCCTGATTATATTCTACAGAGTAGCCCCTTTCTTGTCACTAAAGTCGTCAAACTCATTGTCATACATTCGTTGTAGGGTTTGCTTGATCGCATCGTCACCAGTGGTGTTGATGTTGAAGTTAACTGACAATGGTTTGCGTTTGGCCGAATGAGGCGGTCCAAATAATGCCTACCTGAAAACGGTGCGAGCAGTTGTGATTCTTTCCCGCTAGCCAGTATCTGGTCCAGTACCCAGTGTGTTTCTGGCACGTCCCATCCAAGCAGCAAATCAAATTGGAGAGAGTTGGCTTCTTTGAAATGTAAGTGTCTCAGCTGTGACCACCATACTTCTAGTTCCCCGATCGATTCCACTGCTCGCATTGGAAATTAGGCGATGGTGAAATGTGAAAGCATGATGGATTGAGTGGGCTTATGGGAAGGATTTTCACTGATCTAGCATTGCTCATCTTTTTCGAAATATGCCACTTGCTAGATTTCCGTATCTGAACGAAGAGTGCGGTAAAAAAGGTGGCAAGGGGTGTTGTAGGCGCTAGGTCATCGGTACCCCGAGCTAAAACTTATAGGTCGCAAACGTACGTTCGTACGAGAAGAGAACGAGGCGATTCACGAAACGGAGGGCGACTTGTATTGTAAAGACCTGAAGAGCAAGGGAGAGAGATACAGAGATGTGAGCAAGCGGGCGGAAAGTGAAAGTAAACACGTGCTGACCAAAGAGTTGGCCCTGGTGTGATAAAACAAAGAGATCCACAGGAGGGAGGGTACACTTAGAAAGGGATGTTAATGGTCACTACAGTATCACGTGCCGCATATATCAAGAAGGGGCTCACCAAAAGTGCACCGGGGTCTCTCCGGAGATCTACACTTTGTACTGTGTGCAACGGTAGCAAAACGATTGCATGCCATCAAAAAGTCAAAGGTGCTGTCCCAGGAAAGTCACTAAGACTAGCCGAAGCAAAACGAGTGGAGAGTAAGGAAGTGACGGCTGCAAAGGTAACAGCCAACACCTATGCCGATGTGGTAAAGAAAACACCTCCAAGTAAACCAGCTCCACAAACTCCTCAAATGCAACCAAATGCTATGATTGTCAAACCTAAGCCGAAAACAGAAAATCCGCGCACCGTCCAGGGTATTCTGAGCAACAGCCTGCACCACATCGAGAGTGAACTGCACAAATTGCGGACAGAGTTAGCCTCGACCAAGGCTGTCNGGTAAAGAAAACACCTCCAAGTAAACCAGCTCCACAAACTCGTCAAATGAAACCAAATGCTAAGATTGTGAAACATAAGCCGAAAACAGAAAATCCGCGCACCGCCAAGGAAGGCCAGGGTATTCTGAGCAACAGACTGCACCACAACGAGAGTGAGCTGCACGAATTGCTTGCAGAGGTAGCCTCGATCAAGGCTGTTAGGGCAAATAGAACTTCAAGGTGCAAAACGTTACTGGTCCTCAATATAGTGGAACCAATAATCAGGGAGTCTAAAACCCGGCGAGAACTGGACCGACGCCGAGTGATTGACATTCTTCGACTGGTAGGCCTAGGTACAAAATGTCACATAAAAAGGATACATCGAGTAGTTTTTTGGAACCAGTCAAACCCTAACGGGGCGCCAGCGGCCCGACGAATACTAGTGGAGTTCGGAGAAGTAGGACCAAGTGACATGCCATAGGCACATTGGTTCTGGAAAACAACACTGTGGCAGTAGACGGCCACAGCAAGGCAGTAGCACCAGGCAACTATTTACCTAGTGTTTATTGGTTAGACAACCGGACATTAGAACCTAGATCCCCGACCTCTTTTCCACCGAACATAAGAGAGATGCAGATATCTACAATTGAACTACAAAAGGTGTTAAGGGAGTTGGGCATAAATAATGCCAGGGTCCCTGCCATTGTGAAGCCTCTTGCCCAAATCTTAGCAGACCTCTTAAAGGTGCTGCTTCAAAAGTCTCTGGATGAGGGCGTTCTTCCGAGTGACTGGAAAACTGCCGTTTTGGTGGCGTTACACAATAGTGGTACTACCCACAGCACTACAGAATAGTTAGCTTAACTATTCTATTCTATTTCTATTCTATTCCATTCACTGCAAGTGCATGGAAAAGTTAATCAGGACCCATTTCTGTGCCCACATTTTAGAGTATGCATTACTTAGCGTGGCCCAGTATGGTTTCATGAAAAGTATGTTGTGCCTGACTAGTTAAGTCAAGTCAGTAGTAGCTTTTATGCACCCGGATGGGTGTATTTTCAGCAATTACACCATATTTGTGGATTCAAATTAACAAAATCATTACATAATGAAACTGAAAGCAATGAGGTGTTTGTCAATGAAGTAAGCGGTTGCGCAATTCTGTGGAATTTGTGTCCTTGTCTATAAGTAGACGTGTTAGATATGGCAGAACAGAATTACGACTAGCACAGGTGTGTGCAAAAAATCTTTAAATGTTGAGCGTGTGGATGACGCAGATAGAGCTTTTGAAAATTCATTGTGTAATGGGTGGAGAGTGTCTGAGAGTATTTTGGTGGCGAAATTTTCACATGCTTGTAGGTGTCTGTCATTGATAGAATCGGCCAGTTTATCTCTGATAATGCCACTACATTTAGAGATGTGTTTCAGAGATCTCTCCAGTAAATAAAAGTCGTTCTTCAGCATACCTGGAAAAATTACTGGAGAGTAATACAACCAGTGGGGTAGCACGCATGCATCCATAAATCTAACAATCAGCTTGTGAGGAGCAGAGAATAATCTCAATCGGAGTGAGAAATGTGAAAGCTTTCTAACTATACAGAACGTGTTTTGAATGTGCAGTGACCATGATAAATTGTGTGATAGGGTGACGCCAGGGTATTTTACTTTGGTGATTTGCAGAGAAAGTGGGGAACTTCTCTGTAAGGGCTGAATATGGTGCATCGGCCAAGAGGGAAAACACAACATCCTGACATTTTGGGGCATTCAATGAGAGAGAACGGGATAGGGACCAAGTGATAACGTCATTCAGCTTCCTTTGAATTTCGAAAGCCTCTTCTGGGGTGGATACTTTGCAACCTACAGCAAAGTCATCAGCGTATTTACAGCCAATGAATGCAGGAGGAATGGGAAATTGTTCGACATACATAAAGAAGAAATATGGGGAAAATATTGCACCTTGCAGGACACCAGAAGAAACTGGGCGAGTGGAGGACGTTTTTCCGTTGAAACATGTAAACTGCTTTCTGTCTGTGAAATAATCACATATCACTCTGCTAACGTTTGAACTTATACCACTTTCAGTAATCAGGTTGAGCAATACTGATTGATCAAGACTACCGAAAGCGATTTTTAGTCTAAGAACATCATTCTGACGGTCTCAATTTTATTATCAAGTGCCGAAATAATAATAATAATAATAGTAATAACGGTATATTTCGCGAAGCCCGCGAAGCATGCTAGTGCGCATGATCAAAATGTACAACAATATGAAACGTGAACAGTGGAAAGCAAATAGTAATAGTACACAGAGTGTAGGAAAGTGATTTT